AAATGTCAGTTGAAATTTATTTATCGGTACATTACGGATGGGTCATGATAATTCTCATATTTTCTGTTCCGATGCACACAAGAATTCTCGGGTTTTTATTATCGATAAAGTATTTATATGGAAATATATCTGACCATTGAGTAAAATTATCGATCCACAATACGTTATAAATAATTAAAATTCGTTTCGAAGAAATTGATTCATTTCATTTTCGTCAATTTTTATATACCAATCGAAATATATTTCGATCTCAGCCTCCTAAAAATATCCCACGAATATTAACACTCAATATAATATCCTTCTTATTCCAATTATTTTTTCTTATACATTATTTCACATATTATTCATACTTTTCTTAATTTATTCTGGCCAAACGTAACAACACATCTCAATTGCTTTTCAACCAAGCATCCAAAAAAGAAAAGTAAAGAAATATTTCCTCCATATTTTTTATCCACACCTTGATCGATTTAAAAACTGTCGAACCTCTCTTATATTTGTCTCTATAAAAAAAAAAAGTTCGAAAGAGAAAGAGAAATGAGAGCGCAGCTTAAAAGTATCGAACGAGTCGAGGAGAGAAGTTACACGTGAAGCACGAGTGGTTCAACGTACGCTCTGCGCGTGGAATTTCACGATAACGGTGAAAGTTTTCGCGGTCGTTACAACCACACCAACGTTAAATGTAATAACATTGAGGAGAGGATCGTGGATTTTGCGTCCCAGGTGTTCGCATTTCGTGAATAATCGCGCGAACCGCGCACGATATTGCGAGAGTTTATTATGATTTTACTACGATGAGGAGTTTTATAGTTACAAATATTAGGTTGTCCAAAATGTTGACATGACATCAGATGATGTAATAAGAAAAGAAATTGCGACTCTCTTTTATCTCTTAAAACTTTTTTTTTATGAATAAACACGTTTCTCGGATTACAAAGTAGTTGATGTGTTACGTAGCTTTCGATATACGTCGTTTTTATAATATTGTATATTTATTATGATATTCTGTGTATTATCATTTTACATAACAGTGTACGTTTCAAAGTTTTCAACAATTATTTATGTAATGTTGATCGTTTTTTAAAAAGACTTTTGAAAAGTGTTTCTTCATTATTGTATATTTCTTCATTACAGATTTCAATACATATAAAATTTTGATACGTATGTAATTCCAATTTCATGCTAATGTAATTAAGGATATATATCCTATTTGATTAGTAGAACAATGAGGAATAATATTTGTATGGTAGATAGATATTATATTTGAATAATGATGGATAACGGTGGTGCTAATGTATCATTATTAAAGGATAATATAGAAATTTAATTAAAACGCGAGACAATCAGATTTTCTTTCAAAAAAATATATTTTAGCTTTACGAAGAATAATTAATTTCAACGATTAATTAACAAATTTAGCATTAAACTCTTAGCACTGTAATATCATAGACCAGTCAATATTTGAAGGAATTAGTGGTTTAAGTGGTAATTAGGATTCATTGCTCTTTGTTGGTCGTCAAAGTTAAAAGGAATCAAGTGGCTATTGCAAATTACGATCGTTGGAATGAACATTTCTTGGATGGAAATAAATTTAAAAATATAAGAAAAAAAGTAATATAACAACACTATAATGATCCTCTTAACGCAACTTTAAAAACATAACTTCGGATTTTATAGTTTTGAACTTTGCACTTGCGAGCACTAATGTACAATTTAATTATTCAATTAAGAATATTGATGGAACAACGATATAAAAGTTATGTTAAAATTTCACGACTTGTAGAAGATATAGAATTGATAAGATGATTTAAAAGAAATTATACATACAAGTATAATTATACAAGTATAATTTTTCTTCTTTTATTCTCAAAATTTTATTTTTACGTATAGGATATATGTGGAAAAGATATAAAATTGAAAGCAATTACCCTTTAACGATTAACGATAACTCTCAAACTCCTTTATTTATCTCGAATAAAATTGATCACAATCAAACGTTTCTACTATCGTACCATTTTTTTTTTTTTCGAAAAGATACATTTGCCACATTTATCACTTGATCGCGTTTTAAAGAACAAAAACGCGATGATTCAATTCGCGCTACGTGATGCATGAAATTCTTCTCTCAAAAGGAAAATACGAGGAAATGTTTTCTAGAAAACGAATGAAATCAGTGGCGAGTTCAGACTCGCGTTACGACGGTGAACTTGAGTCAACATATAATGTCACTTGAAGAAGATTGAAAAAGCTTGGAAGACCCGCAATCGAATAAATTCTTGTTTGGATTCCATCTTATGAAAAGGCATTGGCTCGTTCCTACGCCTACTTTAGATCTATCGAAGCCTCGACGGATTTCGAGTGCAACAAATGTTCATTTTCAATTATGGCATTCACTTCTTGCCTCGTAATTCACTTTCTTACCTTGAACTTGAATTTCAAATGCTTTGGCCTCTTTTCTTCGCTCAGTTTCATTAATTACGAGTATTCATTTTCTTTCCGAATATTTATACGTAAGATACACATTTAAAAATTTAGAAAATAAAAGCATGTAATATAATTCGATCACAATGATGAAACGATTAATTAACACATAGAGATCTCTTAATTCTATCAACTTTTAATCAAAAATTCCAATCTTTTCCAATCTTCCCATTTAATATTTCCCTTTCTAGAAGAATGTAACGACCCCCCTCCTTCCACACAATCCAACAACGATAATTCCAATCCTGACCTATGCTAGACTGTGCACCATTGTGCAACCCGACAAACCATCTTAAAACCTAAAAAACCTCTACCAGAATGAACTCCCTTCCCCTTCCACTACGAGATAACCTTTTCAAGGATCGTCGAGATTCGAGGCGAGGGGGGAGGTAGAGAACGAGTCGTGGATGGTTCTTCGAGTGGCGTTGCTCGTAAAACGCACAACTTGTAGCGGCGTAACGAAACAGCCGATACACGAAGCGACCCTTGAACGAGGGACGTTGGAAGGTCGCGCGGCACGAGCCGAAACGCGAGATACGAATCGTTGGAAGGCCCGCCGGGACCGAGGCTACCGAACGTAATAGAAATTTACCTCGCCGTTATTTCACTCTTCCTTCCCCTTAGACCATCTCTCCCCTTCCCCCGGTCGTCTCGTTCACCTTACATAAAAGAAAGGGGCGGATCGATGAAGGCGGCGGATGTCTCGTGATGCAAACGTTCGACGAGGATATGCCCCTCGTGTTTCGACCTCGAGTTCGTTCCTCGAACGTCCTTCGTATGAGCGGATTAACGGGAGAAGGGGAGGAGGGTGGCACGGAGGGTGATCGACCGTCAGAATTAATCCGCGCCTTGTCACGCTCCACGTTCCATGTGGATCGTTGTTTAATCGTCGTAAGAAACGGATCAAGAAATGTCGATACGTCAATCATTGGAGGGGGAGGAGGGGTCGTGGTTGCTACGTGTTATTGTTATATTGGCAAGTATTGTTGGGAAAGGGATGATGGGTTTGACGGGGATTTCTTCGATTTATCGTCGATGGATTTGTAATGGATTTATATAAACATTGTATTTGGTTTGCAAGCTATGTTATTTATCGTTATTGAATTTTTTAGAGTAGATAATTGTTTCTTCGAATTGACGTTTGATCGCGATCGAGATTAAGCTTGTTTTCGATTTACAGTCGAAACTAAATGACTTATCGTTTATTTGGAGAATTTTTTACAATATTTCGTGTAATTTTTTTGGAAGTAGTTCGAATTTTTCTTATATTTCATTAAAAATATTACCACGTATGATGAACACCGTATAAAATAAACATTTCGTTTTTAAATAAAATTGCTTTGCGATTAATAAGATTGTCAAATTCTTTCTCTAAGAAAGAATAAATACCATTATGAACTGACGGAAAATTGTTGAGGAGGAAAATTACAAATGAATGAAAAATTCAAGCTAAATTGTGGAAAAGATAATTTGATTAAGGTAGGTCAACAACTTAACGGCAGTTGTTTTTAAATGAAATAACTATGGCGTAAGATCTCTTCACCAGCTGAAACAAAATGCTCCCCTTCTGAATAGTATCTCACTTTATCCAAAACGAATCGGTTGCCAAAAAAAAAAAAAAAAATTGTTCAGTTTAATCCAATACACGATTAATGTATATATAGATTCGATACTTGAAATGATCGTTTATTATTTCGAAATATTCGTGATAAATCCATCGAAACGAAAACTGTTTTATTATATGCTCGAGTCATCGAGCGAAGAGTGAGTTTTAACATTATTATCACTTCGTTAATATTTATAAAATCTTGTTAAAAATACGTGCGCATTCGAGAAATAATAAAATTCGAACTATCGTATTTCTTTTTAGAATGACATTGATCTATACAAGCTCCAAGTTTTTTTATCTTTCTTTTCTAATCTATATATGTATTATTCTATATATATGTTTATTCTATATAATATATATTTATTATATATTATATTTTTTATATTATATTATTTAATATATTCTATATAAATTATACGATAATGAAATATAGGAGACAGATTTTATAAAATATGAAACCAATATAAAATGCACTTTATGAAAAAACTTTCAATATTGATTTAAATTTCGACGTGAAATTTTCATTAGATAATAGAATCTTAAAAAGAGGTAAAAGAAATTGATGAAATTATTTAAAAAATATTGATTTTCAGGTAAATTCATTCTAAATTTTCATATAATAAAAGAGAAATATATATTTTTGAAAGAATTTAAATCATCGATAAGAAAAGAAAGAAAATAAAATAAAATTTAAATTAATAATCTTTAATTTTTTAATCTCGTTCGATTAAAAACTCTATTATGAATGTAAAATTCTTTTACAAGGCACTATATCCGTTTTTTAAACTTGGATATCAACAAGAGGGAAAGAAAGTCACGTTAAGAAAAGGAGGGAGAAAAGTTTCGTAGCTAATTTCCGCGGCATCAAACGCGTTCTTAAGCGGTAAGGTGGATTGCTTTTTCGACTTACGAGAAAATCAACCGGGTCGTCTGGACGCAAATTTGCAACTTCGATGAGTCCTTGCGTCAAGGTTGGCAACACGTATTTCATCAAATAGTTGCGCAAAGGGAGGCTAGCCAGGCAGAGTTTCTCTTCCTGTTCCTCCGTCAGTTTTTCCATCAGATTCGTCTACGGATACGGAGAAATTTTTATTCTTCAAGGGGAAATTATTCTTCGCGATAAGTTAATTTAAAAATCGTGATTTGTGATAAAAAAATTTGTTTATTGCACGTGACTAAATTCATAATAATTAGAAAAAATAATTATTAAAAAAATATAAAAGAAAATTATTCTTCGTGATATATTTAAAAATTAACGTTAAATCGAAATTTTATTATTTTTATACATTACATATAATTTTATTATTTTTATACAGTTGACTAGTTTGTATTAATAATACGAATACGATTTATGTTATTATAATATAAATGAAAGATATATTACAATGCAAATATTTTTAAATAAAGAACAATACTTTTAATTTTTAATTAATTTGTTTTCAGCCTCAGTATAATATTTTTAATTTTTTTTTCTTTTCTTCTTTTTTTTTTTTTTTTTATTAACCTGATATTGCTGTTTGTTCGAAATTAATTGCCACAGCAATAATATTTTGTTCGAGATGACTTTGAACTTATTTAATATCAATGCCAGAGTTTATTTTTAATATAGAGAAAGAATATTACAAAGAAGCGGAATAATAATTTGAATTTTAAATTCACTAGTTAAATTTAGATATCGATTAATATCGTAAACAAAACAACTGTACACTTTCAATAGAACCATTTACCATGAAACGATTTTAATGTCGTAGAGGATATAAATTTTTAAACATTTTTGCGATAATAAACTTTGGTTTTTGATATGAAACACTTTCGCTGCATTATACAACTCTTATTACGGTAATAAACTATGGAGAGTAATACCAAAAAAGGACCTCCTTTAACAATTTCCACTTTTATTTATTATTCGTCTCTGATATTTTTAGGAAACTTTAACGATAAATATCTCTGCACCAAACCACTAACCATTACCACAAGTATGTTCGAAAACAATATTCCACTTTCTTGTAATTAATGATCAAAGTAAATTTCACCTCGACTTTTTCTCTTTAAAAATGAACCATTTTCTCGTATTTTTAATAATCTAAGAACCAATAATATTTATTTTTTTGTCGATACAGTAAAGACATTATTGACGATAAATAATAAGAAAAATATTTAATCTAGAGATTATTACGAGAATATTAAATTTCGTTTGGAAGGATTATCGAAATATTAAAGAACGTGCAGTTAATCTTACACTTATGGAAAGAACTTCTTATACGAAAAAAAAAAAAAAAAAAAGAAAAGAACGAAAAGAAAGTACATGTTTGATTAAATTTTATAGAAGCTATTTATCGTAATACTTTAACGAGAAAAAAAACTGAATTAGAATTACAAATAGGCTTTATGAAGCTTTTTCGTAGGGATCAGAAATTTGATGTCACGAGTCACTTTATCACGAGCAAAAATAAGTTTTTGAATGTTGAAAATTTCATGAGCCGAGGAACGATAACGTATATCCGCGAAACTGAAATAAATAGATGTAGTATGCGTGTATATATGCAAAAAGCTCGTTGATTTGTCGTGCAAAAAATGTTATAAATATGTATACGTCTTGCCAAATTGCAAAAAATCTATCGTGTTAGAGAAAAAGTTACGAAGAATGAAAAATAAAGTTCATAAGTATGATGAGATTATTATTCAATTTAATTATATTATTCAAAGTCATTAATAAGTATTTATTTGAAGCACTTTCATTTATTTTAAATATATGAAATATTTTCCTTTCTTCCTTTCTATATACCTTTTCCTATTTCTTCGAAAAGTAATATTTATAGAAAAACAATTTCTAATAAATATTTTTAATGATTTTTCAACTCCAATAAAACTATATTTATTGCAGGAACATGTGAAATTGAATTAGTTTAATTTATAAATCAAATAAATTTATTATTCGATGGATTATTATTATTTTCATGAAGAAAGAATTAAATGTTCCATGAAAGTGAAAGTCATTCTCGAAATGAAAAAAATTCCAATTCATGATAGAATTGAGTGGCGATAAGTCCCGTTACCACGATGTTTAGAATTAAAAAAAATATTTGACATTTCGGTGTTGAAACGATATCATTATACGACATATACGAAAGAAAGCATTGGTCAACAGTCAATTTTCATATCGCGTAAAATGCAATTCAATAATCTTTATCAGTTTGCTTAATACAAAACGACAAAAAAACGACAAGACAAAGAATGGATATAAACAGTTGTATTCTATCTATTGTACCCAGATTTTTTTGTTTTCCTCATTTTTATTCGAGGTTATTAAAATGTTATTCTGCTCCTGGTTTCTTATGCTCTTTTAGTTCCTTTTTTATTTTCGCGATAAAAAGGATATGCGAGGAGAGAGATGAGAATGAAACAAAGAACGCGAAAAATCGTGTCGAATGTAATCCTTTGTGCGAATGTTTTTAACAATTTCCATGTTTTCACGGTTTTCTTTCCATGACGAATTTCTTTTATTAATTCATTTGCATCGTATGTCGAAATAAATCAAAGGTTGACTCGTTTCGCGAATGTCAAATTATTTCTATGCAAACGTGAATGATTTTCATTTTCATTTTGAATTGGTAAAATAATTTTTTCGATTTAATTAATCGATTGATAAATACTTGAACTTGTCATAGATATTCTTGTTATTCTATATATTCAATTAATTTTAACATATCTAATAAATATAATATTTTAACACGTATATTTATCCAAATATTTAAATCCATTATCGTTTCCTAATAATCCGAAAATAGATTAATTATTTCTTGATAAAATAATCAAACTTGTAGATCTTTGTAAATATCGAAATTTTTTAAAAAATTAAAGTAAATGAATAAAAATCAAAAAATCATTAATCAATCAAGATTTTGCTTTTACTTAAATAAAGCCATCAAGTGAAATTTTAATCGATCGTAACTTTCGATAGAAATGTTACTTGTCAGATAAAACTTTACTCGATTCGAGTTTCGGAATTTCGGATTATGCACACTGAATACCTGTTCTACCGAAACTTTCAAATTGATCTTTATCTATCCACGTTGGATAAAGCATGATTAATTACATTTGAGAAATACGAAGTCAAGCATAATATTATTAGAATATTCTATAGATAATCCGGATGAGGATGACATTTATTTCAAAAATATAAATTTTAATCATATTAATAATTTTTATCCAATATCAAATATCCGGTAATGATTTATCAACTATCTCTTTTTAAGACTTAGAGTTTCCTTACAATCACAATTTAATAATTTATTAATAATGGAACAACGCGCGTTAATAAATTTCCCATTGTAAAATTATTAAAGAAAAATTGGATTTTTCGCAATCTGAATAATCGATTTTCATTGAATACTATTATTGTTAAGTCGAAACAATAAACACCAACCCATTCTTCCATTTTCTGCTCACGTAGTCGCTTGAGTTCCAAGTATTCTTTCTTTTCTTGCAATTTTGCGGCTGTTTCCGCTTCAAGCGCTTCCACCTCGGCGCGTTTCCGCGCGTTTCTCGCTTCCTCTGCGCTTAATCCTAATGGAATAGAAAGAAATTTATGCTAATGCGTCCATGAAAAATAAAAGTTTAAAAGCTTTCATACATTAATTTGTATTATACGCGATGAAAATGGAAATCATTTTAATTAATCAATTTTTAACTTGATCGAAATAAAAATTGAATCAACGAGAATACATGTAAAATATTTATCATTATATTATAATATTTATATTATATTATCATTAATATTATTTGAAAATTTAAAAATCGATATCGATACTTTATAAAGTATGGTATAAAAACCATTATTTTTGCATATGGTTTTATCGCGACATATAACACAATCTCCATATTTTTTATCGGATTTCTCTCAACTCGAGACACCTATCACCTTCTCCTTGCATCAGGTGAACGACTCTGTGCATAAAAAAAAGGGACACGGCTAATACATCTAAAGACAGAGAAAAATTCTGCGAAATCCTCGTACAAGCTGTGTAGAAAAAAGTTACCACGATATATGTTACCCGTCTTTCCTTTTTACGAAGAATCGTCTCATCGACCAAAGGAGGTGATAAACGACGAATTTCACAGCGTCTAAGACCATTTCTTACCGTAATTTCTCGGTGGGCCGATTCTCTCCAAACACTGATAAACCGTGGGAAACATGTCTGGGCAGTCGTCCTCCTCGATGTCGATGATGAGCGGATGAATTTCAATCTCGTCGAAAAATTGCAAGGGTGTGTTTTCGTCGGTGTTTCTCTTCCTAGGAAACGAAGTGATAACGATTTTTGTAAAAACTTTACGTCAATTCAATTTGGATACGAAAATGAAAATGAAAAATCGTGGAAAAATTACACGAGCGGTTGGAATAATTTTTACATTCGAAACGAATAAACGACAATTGTTGCGTGTTTTCCGATTTAATAATCGGCCTTTTGTCATCGGCTCTAACGCGATTTGATAATATTTTTCATTGCATCGTTATAAATTTCGTGATAAGTATGCTGTGCGTTGTTTAATCGATATTCGAAACACGTGCCACGATAAACGTCGCGTGAATAACGTTTCCACTTTGGATCGTTTGAAAACTTCATTGATTAGCTTATGCTGCATTATTATTATTTTTTTTTAAATTACAAATACTAAACATTGTATAGATAGATTTAATCATGTCATTCGTTCTAAAAAAGAATTTATATTCCCTTATTCTTTTAATATTCATAATATAAATTTCAGAATCACTGACTAATTCGAATCATTTCCTTTAAATTCTACGAAAAAAATCTTGTAAAGATTCTAAAAGTTCCAACAAATCATTCGATCACCGTCAACCTTAAATAAATTAAATACCATCCGTGTGTAATTCTCAGAATTCTCAAAACCATAAAATTCGTCACTTAGCCTCTTAATTAACTTCGTGATCTCATTGGCGAACTTAAACCGGATATGAAAGATAACGTGCACATCACCTGTACTCCTTCAAACGTCGTATCATGTGCTCCTCGGTGTAATGGGTGTCCTGTATGTTCTTCTCGGGTTGTTGAATGATCCTCTCCTTCAGGAAATCGTCGCTCGCCTCCAACGACACCACCAATTCGGGTAGAATCGTAGTAACCGGTTCCATTTCGGCCTCCTCCTCCATCTCCTCCTCGAGTTCGTCCGCGCGTTCACCGGTGAACAACATTTGCGCTTGTTCCAACGTCTTTGGGTAACCGTCTATGACGTAGCCTTGATTCTGACATTCTTTCGAGCGCAACTTCCTCTGGAACAATCTGTGACAATGTTTTAAGAATGCTAATACATTCGTGAATAAGGATTATCCCACGATGGATGACGCATCATGGATCTTTTCAAAGAATATAAAAAAAAATTCATTGTCATTTGTTAATAAACGAGCCACAATCGAAAATTTTGTTAAATTACGATGACGAATTTTCAATATAAAAGAAGATTGAAAAAATTGAAATATTTATAAAATCAATATTTAAAATAATTTTATCATTCTTAAGTTTACCAATCAATTTTTTGTAAATTATGCCGTGCCTTTCACATATGGATAATTCTTATTTTATTTTTAACCTATTAAAGTTCAACATTGCGTTAAAATTGCAAAACACTTCATTTACAATTTTTGTTCGGTCGATTTATTCGTTATTTTCAATTCTGTTTTTAATTTTGTATTTATGAAAAAGAAATTCCTATCATGCGTTTAATATTTTTTTTTTCATCGCTATTTCTTTCATCATTTCCTTTATCCTTATATCCTATATTTCCATTCTATAAATTTTAAAGAAATTAACGGATATATTATTTTCTCCTTTTCTCTCTCGTATAATATTCGTAATAATATTTTAAAGTAATTTTTAACAAGATTATCATTTCTACGTTTTTCATTTATATTATTTTATTCATTTTTCCTTTCGAAAAACCTCGTTCCCATCAGCTGCTTAAGTTTTTTTAGTCGCTATCGAAGCGACACTCTTTTTCAACGTCGTCCTTGCAACTGTCTGCGCATCGTTCAAACCTCATCAAACACAAGAAGAACACTTCGACATCGTTGCTCGATTTTCAGACCAGTTAAATCCAAATACGACAAATGGAGGGAAAAAGAAAGAAAGAAAAAAAGAAAGAAAGAAAAAAAAGTGAAAGAGGAAAAGAAACGTCTCGTTGAAAAGCGATGCTCTTCTTTTTAACGTCGTTCTTGCTTCGACTTGTTTGTGCGTCGTTCGAGCGAGCGCAAAAATTCGCGTTTCTACATTCCACGATTTTCTACCAATTAAACCCGTACCACTGAACTCAAAAAAGAAAAAGAGGGAAGTCTCGTTGAAAAGCATGACAAAGACTTGACAGCCTTCAGTTCCTGTTACACCGTTTCTCATTGTATCTCATTTTCACCGGTTGATTCAAGAAGGTTTCGTACATATTCATAATAAGCATCTCGAAAGGATTCGTGAATTAGATAAAGGAACCGTGAAATTAATAATTAATACGCCTCTCTCATTTCTCGTTCGTTATTATCTTTAGATGTTTTTACAATTGACGATACAATTGAAGATTTTTCATTTAAGATTGTTACGATCTTGAAAATTTATTATTATTACACGTGTAGAATATAATCATTTAAGTTATAGGTTATTAAGATGCGTATTCATGTAATCGAAGATCGTTACAAGAAATTGAGATGAGTATCACTGTATTCGAATTACATTTAATACAAAAAACTTGATATTCAATTTGTTATTTTACTCTTGTTATTGGATTCTTCTTTCAAAGAGAGAGAATTTAATTTAATTTCAAACTTAAATTTATTGATTAACTCGATAGATTGAAAAGTAAAGGAAATTGAATAATTTTGTAAATTTTTTGAGAAATTTGAAAATATTTATAAAATATATCGATTTTATTCGTAACTTTCATTATTCATTTCTTTTAAATCATGTCGCATAAAAATACGATATTTTAGAAGAAGAAACATTTCCAATAGGGCTGAAGTTGCATTGAAACACAGATGGACCATCACAAAGCACGTATGAATGCCACCGCATTTGCTTGAAAGCATCCAAAGGAACAACTTGTTGTATACGTCGCATATAACAACGCGATTATAACGCACATGTGGAACAATCATGCCCTATTTCCAAGAAATATCATTATACATGCCCTTGCGCGATACGTGAAGCATACTTGATATCCAGATCATTCGTAAAATGATCCTTATGTGCCTATTATTATACGATTAATTAAAATATAATTAATCAGAATATATTTTATCAAATGTATAACTAAATATTTTTCTTCCTTTTATAATTTTTATGAAAAAAACAACATTTTTAAAAATAACGTTCGTCTTCGATATGAAAAATTTTTGATTAAAAGATTGTTATATTAAATTTCGGAGAGAAGAACTTCTCAATAAATTCCACAACGCGAAGATACGTAATACGTTTAATAACGTAACACGAATCCTCCCGATATCGCATTATTCCGTCAAATTGCGACAGAGACATTAATAATATACGGCTGACATCGTGTATCATGTTGATACTACGACCTAATCCAATTTGACGCAAATATACGGGAACGCTTATCACCGATTTTAACCCCATAAAATTTTAACCCAATATATATTTTCAAAGGCCATTACATATCACGCGTTACGCACGTGTGTTCCTCCTCTGAAGAAACATGCAGCGCATAATATGCGCGTATAGGGGACACGAAATTGGGCCGAAAATGGGTCGCGTGCTTTCCGCCATACGCTCGTTCCACGAGGCGCGTTATACACGTGAAAACACGCCTTTAGAGCCACATAGAATAGGTCAATAGCGTGATCCCGTTAACGCTGATATCACGTACGGGATGTTCACGTTTCGGTATTATTCGATTTCGTGAATTACGTGCGAAATATGTGCAAGAGGAATATGTTTCGCTATTTTTCTTATTTTTTTCTTTTTATTATTATTTTTTCATGTAACGTATTTAATGCTTGTGGAATAATTTTTGGAGATTGACTCTTGATTTTTGACAATGAAAGTTGCATTGTTGCATCGTGGCTTATTAAATTTTTTTTTTTTTTTGCGAAGTGTAAACAAATTTTTAACAACAACCATTTGTTATTGTTGTTAAACTATTCTATTCCTTCGCCTGAGAAATTCCAATCCGGATAACAACGTAAATACCCTGCAGGTGTATCTTGTTGGTATACAAGAGTCAAAATTCTTCGGGAACGGAATTTCTCGATAGAGAAATACCGATAGTTGGAAGCATTCTTCAAAGCGGTGTCCGATCTATGACACGATTATCGCGGGCTTTGATCGACAAATCAAATTCGCGTGCGGACCAACGATTGCCGCAACAAAAGACAAAGGGCGATCGAAACGGTTCTGAATGAACACGCGGTTTTCTGGACACACACACACACACACACACACACACACACATATATATATATACGGTTTAACATCCAATTCGTTTAGCATGCCATGTTATTTGTCATACGCACAATCGATATCGATAATGTGAATCACTTACGTACAACCGTAACTAACACGATTGAAGTTCGAGCAAACATCTATACGCGACGTGAAATCACTTCAAACGTTTGTAAATATTTGGAGATAGAATTCCAAATTCGATATTCCTAACGAACAATAGGTTCGATCTATTATTATTGGACAAAGGATTTAATGGTACGGGCAAAATGGAAAGTGTGTCTGTGCCATTTGACGTTCTCTCTGCAACGGGGATGAAAAAAAAAATTCCTCGTTTGATTGCGAAGAACGCGTAACACTGACCTGTTTACAAGATCATCGTCCAGATAACCATTGGCCCTCTGTCTATTTCGTTGTATTTCATCCAACAATTCCTGCTGCTCCTCGAGTTTCGCCGTTCTGTCCTCCAATAAATCCTCTTCTTCTTCGTCCATATCTTCCATTGCCTGCTCAACCTCGCCTTTTTCTTTCAAAGTCGTCTCTTCGTCGATCTCCTTCGTCTGCTCGAGTCGAATATTAAATCATTTTTTCGAACTCGATTAAGTTCGCATTTTTATAGTTCTCCGAGAGAATTCTGTTGCTTGCCGTTTTCTATATTCTCGATATTTTTTTTTTTTTTCTTTTGCATCATACTAACCAATTCCGCGATCGTATTCTCGATCAATGACTTAACGTGAATGTAATGGATATCGTAATGATCGACGAGATATCGCGCCACTCTTGTCTTTCCAGATGCTGGAGGTCCAAGAATGATTATTCTTATTGGGTTCAAATTTCGCGTCGTTTTATATTCCTTCACTATGAGATTGATGTTGTCGGGAAATGGTGCGCCAAAGTGCCAAGATATCCTGTCTGTGATGTACACAGGATCGATGTTTAAATTTATCGTCATTACGTCGTATATTTGTTGCGTGATCTCCGGCAATAAGAAAGCTTCCTCCATTTCAATCTTTTTCACCTTGCCGGTGGTTAGCACTTTGCTGATGGCCTGTGAAACAAGTTCGTGAGTTCTTTCTATTATGCATTCTTTTTGCATGCACGCAATTCTTTTCTTTCGTTGAAAAAATATTGAATTTTTGATTAGATGGATGATTTCATTCATGATTAATTATTTCTGAGATTGCTTGTTAAATTTTTTCTTTTCGGCTAGAAAAGAATAAATAATTGAAAATTTCAAATTTTTAAAATGGAAAAATAATGAAGAGTAAATCGATAATTGTCGATACAAATTAAATCATTGAATTAATTGATTCTTGTCCAGAAATATTATAATTATTCTTGCAATAGAAATATATATATTCAAAGCATATATTTACATTGAAAGAGAATGAAAAAGATATAAAAAGCGATAACAAAATAAATAAAAAGAGAACTATCAGAAGATCAAAAAGAAAATTTGTAGAAAGCAAGTTCGAATAATAGTGAAGCGTGAAAAATGTACATATAACAAAGACGTTTCTTTTGTAATACTTTGACAATAGCAGCTTGTGAGGTAGGTTCCTGTTCCATAGCCACGATATATTGCAGTTGAGGCCAATTTTGCAACACGTCCAGTATTACACTGTGTACAATACAAAAATATATCATGAATATCCATTTTTTATTGTATCACAAAATACGCATAGATAAATGTATATATAAATATTATAATTTTTCATCGATTCTTTAAGAAAAAAAAAAAATTCAACTTGTTGACCTTTTACAATTCAGACCAAGAAAAGATCCATTATTGAAAAAGAAAATAATAGTAAAAGATAAAAATAATTGTTATAAAATCATATATAACTTTCAAAATCTAGATTCTAAAAAACTATTTAATTACTACGCAAGGATATTCATCAAGATTACATTTCAGCTTGTTAAACTGGCTAAAATAAATTCAGTCAAGGTAATTTCGAAACAAGATACACACGTACAACACGAAGGCCGCTTTAATCGCGCGATTTGCCAAATCCTGGCCGAAATCCTATGTCGAAAATCATTGAGTGCTTAACAGGAATTAGAATTATTGAAGCCATTAACGAAGCCATTTCGCGAGACCGCATTCGTACAAATCATTCCGCACTTCACTTGGTCATGTCACGGACGTGTAGCAACGGGATCCTATTGTTCCCCTTGCCGAAAATCGGGAGGAAGGGGGCGTTCAACCACGCCATCTTGAACAAATGATGCAGGGGACCCTCCTCGTCACCGTAAGTCACCCCGCAACAGATCACCAACGTTTTCAGTTTGTCCTTCAGTTTGATCTTCTTCTTCGTTATCACCACGTCCTTCTCGCATTGGATGTGGTTCTTGAAGTTCGGATGAGGTTTTCGTTTTCTATAGTCCTCCTCGGTGAATGGCAAATCCGGCTCGTCCGGATTCAACGGTTTCGTGTTTGCCCAGGTCATTATAGTTGATATCAGGATGAAGTATCGCACCTCGTCGCTACGTTTGAACGCCTTGGGCGATACTTGCTGCACATTTTCGAGTCTCTGAACGATGGCTGAAAACGAGGGGGATGAAACGAGGAGTTGAGAAGTATGACGACATTTCTCGTTCGACTCGAGAAATTTCGCCAAGTATATATACACTTGGAGGATGAGATCGAGTTCTCGTGGTAATGGAAGCTCGTTTCACCGTTTGTGTTATATATCGTATCGAGAAATCGAGTAGAGATATTCTCTGGTAATGGTCGTAGAAAATGTCCAAAATTTATTTATTTTATTACGTAAGATCAAAATCTTACGTAAAATATTATATTTATATTATATTTAATTTGAAAGATTCGTGAAAATTTTAATTTCAAGTTTTAGAGAAAAGAAAAAGGCAGAAGAGAAAATAAATTATATTTAATATAGGAAAGCTAAAAAAAGATTATTATTACTCTTCATTTTCTTAAAAATACATAACGTATAAAAGCTTCTTCCACTATCGTAAGATTCAAATCATACGACTTAGAAACCTTGAACATTCCACGCTTTTCTACAAACCTCGATCTTTCAGAAACGTGCCTTCCAACACTATAATATATCATATACTCTGAATTCTCTATCGATAACGATACATTCTGTACGTATTTAAACACGCGATTCCATTGAAAAGAACATCCCTGATATAATAACGAGGAGGAGAAGTGAATTCAAGGATAAATGTCGATAACGGAACAATCCCATTTCCGGTTTTTAAAGCAACGTTCTTCAAGATCCGCTCATCATCTCCTCTTTGTTTTTAAAAGGAATTAGAACCCACGATCCACCTCCTCTTTCTTTCCAAACGCGGATTAGTCTATGGAGAGGATTCTTTTTTCCCCTCTCGCGCAATTTCACACTTCCATTCACGCGAATAATTAATAATTCGAAGTTTATGGTTTCAAATCGGATCACACCTCGAATGAAAATTTTTTCGCGAAATAAAGATTCGTGTTACGAAGACAGGGAGAAAATTTCGCAGTCTCGATACGATTAATCACGCAATGAAACGCTTTCTAGAAGTGCAACAATATTCTGAAAGAGATATCTGATCGTGGAAGGATCAAAATATTCATTTCTCTAATTTTTGACGCGATTAAAATTATACGTCTTTGAAAATATTTAAATTGGAATACAAAATATTAAAATTATAAAAATCTATAGAATGAAACATTTAAAATGTATCCACTTAAATTCCATTTTAACAGGATAATATTTTTACATAGAATCTTCTAATCATCGCCATTTTCAGCCAAATGAATTCTCTTTCTATAAACGATAATAAGATATATGCAAAGATATAGTCAGTCGTTTCAGTTTTCGCGGATCAGCTTCAAATATTTCGAATTTATAAATAATTTATATTTTATGAAAATATAATTGTTCGCGAGCAAACAACCGTTTCAGAATATCATAGCGGATCGACTAACATTTCAACGCCCATTGGGCCTCCTTTATCTGGCTTTGATCTTGCGTGATATCGTATATCACGATGCCGCACTTCATTAGCTCCTCCAGAAGAGCATCCTGATTCCTCGTGTCCTTTATAACCATTAATACGTCCTCGGGAATTGGATGCTGTAGGGAGAGAAAAGATGAAATTCAATGTAATGAAGGCGAATTGAATTGTGCTCGAGGGGTCGGTTCACGTTCTTTCAAGGGTTGTAATGGGGTTGAAAGGAAAACTTCATAAACAACCAACCGGAGAGAAAGAAAGAAAAATGTGTCTGGCAGGGGTGAATTCGCAGTATTGAATTCTCACGAACGATGAGAGGAAAAAAAAGAAGAGAGGAAGGAAAGTAAGAGGAAAATGGCAAAAATTGATAGTTTAAACGTCGTTTCACGGGTTCACAACGAGAGACAGGTTATCGACTCGAGAGATAAACGATAGATAAGATTCTTTGCCGACGACGACGACGCGTAGAGAAATAAATTTATCGAGAAATCCCTTAAGGAAAACGATGAACAGTGATGATGATGAGTCGTGAGAAAAACGTAGCTAGGCGTTAATCACGCGTTAAAAGGAAATCGCGAGTTTACCTCTGGATCCAACGTTGTTCCAATCACTTCGTACTTTCTTGGCACCTTTTTAAATTTCAGTTTTTTCTCATCTGTTATTGTCATTTCCTCTTCCTCTTCCTCTTCATCGAATCCTCTTCTTCTTTCTTCTTCTTCTTCCTCTTCCTCTTCCTCTTCTTCTTCCAGCTCCTCTTGAGGATTAACGTACAAACGGTCCGATAAAAGCTGAAGAAGGAGATTTTAATTGTTATGTATTGATCGTGTTGGAAAAAAGTGTGTCAATGTACAGAGAAAACATAGCATGAATATTTTACATGAAAAAATACGTAGAAGATATATATAAAATAATAATTTTTTTTCTCTCTTTTATTTTCTTTTTCCTATTTGAATATTTGTTAAGTCTACATAGTCGTGGCATATTGAAAAAGAAACAACATTACGTAAAATCTACATGATTTAAATAGAAAATATCGGAGAAATATCTTTTATCTAGAGAACATAAATGTGCGTATCTCGTTTTACAAAGGTAAAGTTTCACAAGAACACAAGTTTTGAGCGGCTGGCGACGAGCTTTTATTTGCCACGCGCCATCTGTTTCCGCCATATTTCCATAAAATGCGTAATACTCACTAAACTAAACAACGACATTTGCTTCTATATTATATTTCGTTCAAATTTGCATTTACGACTAGCATATATAATAATATCCTAAAAGCGTACAAAGCGTCAATATTTTAACGTCAATACAATTTCGCAACATCGATCTATCAATCCTCTCGAACAATCTCTCTACCATGAATCCTTACATTACGATTTCAATTCGTTCTTTTCAGAAATAATCTTCTTTTTCACGTTCGAGTCGAGTTCGATGCCGTCTTGTATATCATCGATATTTCGATGGAGAAACTTTTATCGAAGAACTTTATCACGCCGATAGAAAGACGATGTATTGCGTAGTATTCGATCGAAACAAAACGACCATTTTTCCCTGAAATGAAATTTCCTTTCCGGGCAGGCTTTCCCGAAACGATTAAATTTGAATCGATCAAAGGGCCGTTTTAATTAACATCGTTCACTTTTAGGGACGACATTCCATCGTACCATCGTGGCCATGGCATTTTTGGAAATTCGATTTATATAGCTGTGTCGTACGACTTGTTGGCCAGCCGCCAGTCGAACGTTACAGAATCGAATTATATCACAGGGGGTAAATTGAGGTTGTGTAACAGTATGGAATAATGGTGGATCGATCGTTTCCTTTAAAAAGGGGCGAATAATTTATTCTATGAAGCGTAATTCGCATTGGAATTGAATTATGCAGGCGAGTACACGGGCGCAATTAAGTAGGCTCGGTGTGAAACTTAGGTCGGAACTTAGGCTTCCTGCCTCGCGATAAATTAATTGAATGGGAATGTATCTTTTTGTTGCTTCCTTATATCATTAAAAGTAATTATAGTGCATTTGATGGGATCTACATGCATATGGGATAATTGATTGGTTTATTTTCAGAGGGGATGCGTAGGGCGATCTTGTTTAGATCGTGGAATCGTAATTTAATGCGGGTAATAGCTTCATTAAGGATATTGCGGTTGTATCGGTGACTTTTATATCCTCTATGGAGGATACAAACGAGGATGTAATTGAGACTATTTCCTTGTAATGAACTTTCCTGCAAACAGCTACTTTCTTCTCTCTGGTTATCTACCGTGGAACATATTTAAAAGTTTGAAAACGGGTCTATAGTCACTTTTTCTCTTCTCTCTTTTTCCCCTTTGTCGACCGTAAAGTTATAATTATGCATGCTTTAAAAATTCAAATAACGAGTATCTTATTTTTTTTTTTTTTTTTTGTTCCAAATTTTTCGTGTCGCTAAGAATAATAAACGTAGTAAGGAAATATATTTATAAAAGAATCCATCGAAAATTTTATTCACATTGAATCCTTGAATACATTTCATCCGTAAAATATTTATGCAACATATTTATTACATATTTTAGCAAATTCATTGAAATAAATTTGTAGAAAATAAAATAATATTGTTCGTTTCAATTTTCATTTCTCAATTATTATTGAAGGTTATATTGTCGATAATATAATATATATTGAAAATTCATCAACATTTACAGTTTCTCCACAAGTCACGTGTACATGATTCTATGAATAATGAATCCAATATGCGTTGATCATCTGATCTAATTATTATATATCATGGTTAAAATATTTCCATGATCTTCTTTCCCGTAAAATTTAAATCTAACATTAGAGAACACAAATTATTTTATGACTTCTATTTAAATTCTAATTTTATTGTATTGTTAAAGGATCACTTTGTACAATGCAAATATATGTAAACCCTATGATCAACCCTTGTTGTTCGTTAAAATTTAATAAATATAGATTAATACATACGAAATTTCCCCATTTGATTTCGTTTCAAATTAATCCTCGAATTTACGCTTTAAATCCTTACACATCAAACTCCAAGTGTACAATCTTCGATTCTCTTCCGGTATACAACTCTCGCTTGATGAAATATTTACACACCACTTTTGGCAAAATATTAAAGGGAAACTGTAATCCGACGTTTAGTTGGAAGCGCAATTTAATCTAAAATGCATATCACATCCTTGTTCAAAGTTACAATTTAATTACACGACATCTCCTCCAGTTACACGCGCCCTTCCAATAATTGGCGATGAAAGTAAATTCGAATCTACTCTTTGAATCTATCGATCAACGTGACCGCGAATTTAATAATTCGCCTGTGATAACATTCTGTAATTTGCACTCAACAATGTTGCACTCGGTTGTTAAAAAAAGATTCAACCCAAAGGATGCTTAAAGAGGATGTGCTGGAACTAATTTGAAATCGATACCATGGGATGTGTGCATACGAAGTATGCATTGGAAAGGAAAGTCCGAGACCTTAATCCCCGCCTTTCTGCCTTTCTCGGATGTTCGAGCTATTCTTTGTTCTTCGAATTTTTTTAACTTCAAGTAATTATTATTATATCTCATGCATATTTTTTCTTTTCTCCTTTTTTTTTTTTGCTAATTTTAAGATAAGTTTTTTATTTAATATATAACATATATACATAATATGAATTGTTTTTACTTGTAAAAATTATTTTTTACAAGTAATTTTATTTTTTTTGTTACTTATGGTGAATCCAATGGATTACATATAAGTGAAAAAAAATTTATAAAAGATAATAGAAAAATAGTAAAAAAGTAAGAAATTTTTGGAGAAATTAATTTCAAAATTAATTTGTGATTTTATAATTTATTTCCAATTTTGTGCTAAATTTACGTTTTTCGGTATAATTAATGTTAATTCAAATATTATACGATTATTGAGATTATTGAGATTGGATCTCTTTATATATAATTGAATGCAAAAAAATAGAAATTTTTAGACGAGCAATTTTTTATTACGTGTAAAAAAAATATTCTTCGTAGTATATTTTTACAGCATAGTTTTTATACATGAACTATTTTATAGCATATTTTCCACCTCATTATAGTTATTATTATTTTTTCATGAAAGTCTATTTTTATTAAAAATTTAATACGTCATCTTGTTAATATTTTGTAAGTATCATGAGATTCGAAATTAAAATAAAATAAATACATTTTTCAACTAAAATTTAAGTATGCAATATTAAATATTTTAAACGAATAACATATAAAAGTAAAATTGATCACATTAGAATAAAATAAAAATGTAAAAAATGAAATTAATATTTGATTAATATACATTAATCTTTATACTTATATCAATAATTTTTATCTGTATACAAATTTTGGAATTTTTTTAATTCGTATATTATTATTTACGATATATATATATATATATATTCATTCAGATTCCTGATATGAAAAAAGAAACTTCAAATTTCTAAAAATTAAAAGCACAAGTTACGAACGTACATAATAACCTATTATTTTTATTCACTATTCTTCCATCTAAATTCTCTCTTTATAAAATCATAATGTTTCGTTAAATGTGTTCAAATATTCTTAAAAATTTGAATAAAAATCAAGAAATCGTTTTTTTGTTAACACAATAATTACACACTTACATTGACAATTTTTTGTCCATGATAACTGTCAAGATGATTAATAAATACACGCCATGGCTTGAATTTTTCAGCTTCCTCTTTTAAAGATTCTTCCTTGAATTTTGAGACTTTTTGCGATTCGACATCATCGAATGGGAAATTATCATCTATCCTTTCGATAGTCGGTGGCGTAAATCTCCTCATAATTGACACTGACTTTGCTTATCTAAGAAAAAAAGAACAAAACATGAATTTGTTACATTTTGATCCGCCATTTTTAGTAATTCGATTGTACTGCGTGTCTTTCCTCTTTTTCGAATCGCACAGATTTTAAATTTGGTGATGCGATTGAAATATTTTTCATAATTAAAAATATATATACAATATACATAACTAATAGTAGGAATTATCATTTATCTGAATTTCGAT